ACATGCATTGTTAAGTCAGTCAGTATGTGTGCTTTAGGTATGACCCAGACACTTTTCAAACAGCTACCTCTGCACTGGGACTCAGAGTGAGTGAGTCTGTGTGTGGGCCCTTTAAGAACAGAGATTTGGTTTCCTGTAGGCCCAGGGCTCTGGCAGATGTTAGCCTTATTGCTCCTCAAAACCAGATATTATGTGGGCTCCTCTTCTTGGTGCTGGTCCACTGGGCTGGGAAGCCTGTTGTGGGTCTCAGATCCTTCACTCCTCAGGGGGGAATCTCGTCAGCCATAATATTCTTCCCACCCATGGGATCCTACACTGAGTGTGGGTCCTGAGCAGACCAGGTCTCTGCCCCTCCTACCCATCTCGATGTGGCTTTTTCTTTATATCCTCAGTTGTAGAGAATCTGTTCCATTAGTCTTCAGGTTGTTCTCAGAGATAGTTGTTCTATATGTAGCTATAGTTTTGGTGTCATGGGAAGTGAGCCCAGGATCTTTCTACTTGATCAGAATCCATACCCTCTATTCATTTCATAAGTCTAATACTATTGTGATTTCAATACTTAATAGGGACAGTCCCAGATAGAAAAATTATAGACTAATTTTTTCAAAAATTGAACCAAATAAACTAAATAAAATATTAATAAATCAAACCCATCTGTCTTTTAAAAAATTACACATGATCAACTTGGAAGTATCTCAATAATTCAAGGTTGATTCAACATTTAAAAAAAATCTATCATTGAGTCAACAAATTAACAGCTTAAATGAGATCCTATTTTAATAGATGCAGTAAAAGCTTAAAATTCACATTCCTTTACAATATAAAGTACTCTTACAAACTTCAAATTTAATGTCAAAAGATAGAAAGCTTTCCTTTTGAAATTAGCAAAGAGAAAAAGTTACTTATTATCACCTTTATATTAAATACTGCATAGAAGAGCATAGGCAAGAAAAAGAAGAACTGTAAGAATAGGAAAGATAAGAATCTAACATTCATATATTTGACTGTGTAGACTTTAAACATAAATTTCTATAACTAACATAAATTTAAGGCTATTGAATAAAACATTCAAACCACTGAAAATAAAATTTTTAAAAATGGAATTTACAATTGTATAAAAATATCAAATACCTACAAATTAATCTGACGAAAAGGTATGCAAGTCTCTATGGAGAACCTGCATAATTTATTGAGATTAAAGAACATCTCAATCAATAGGATAGGTACAAAATGTTCATCGTAGATTGTAAGACTCAATGAGATGTTTTTCTGGAACTTGACCAGCTTGTTAAGAAATGTATGTGGAGGTGTGAAGGAACTAGGATAGCCAAGACACTCTCGAGGGAAAACAAGACAGCAGGACTGCTCTGCAACTGAGCAAAAATGAATTATAAGGCTACAGTGATTAAAACAGCATAAAAATCGTTCTGAAATAGACACAGACATACATAAAGACATTTGCTTTATGACAAAGAGAAACAGGATAAGGATGAAGTTTTCAATAAGTATTACCAAGACAACCAGAGATCCACACGGACAACATAAAATGCACTTCTAACCCTATCTAATACTATACCCAAAAATCAAATCCAGATGGATTATAAACTAATGTGAAAAGCAAATAAAACTTTGATTCCAACTTTGATTCCAGGTTAGGGAAATATTCTTTAAAGATATACAATGACCTTAAAAAATGATAAAATTACTAATTTTAATAAAGTACAATGTATCAAAACACCCCATACACATAAATGTCGAATTACAATCTTGTACACCTGAAAACTGTTATCCAATACTAACCCAATAAATTAAGTTTTTGAAAAAACCATAAAGAGGATTAACAGGCAACCTACACAATGTGAAGATATGTTTATGATACATACAACTGACAAAAGCCTTATAGCTGGACTGCATAAAGTACTACTATGTATTAAGAAAACCTCAGTAAGAAAACAGACAAAAGACCTAAACAGGAATCCATAAAAGAGCATATGCAAATGTTCAATAAACAAATGAAATGTCTTCAATCTCACTAGCAAAGAAGAAAATGCAAATTAAAACCACCAGACACTACTACACACCCAAGAGTGTGTAGCAACAGGAATTCTCATAAACTTCTCACAGACATGTCCAGAGGTACAACCATTTCAGAAATTAAGTTAGCATTATCCAGTAAAATTGATGGGAAGGCTTTGCAGGCAGCTTCTAAGATGGCCCCAAGGACTCTTTCTCCTGCTATTAACATTCTTGTGTAATAGTCCCATTGAACAAGTGCTGGACCTAATGAGTTGCTTTCAGTGAATAGAATATGGCAAAAGTGATGGGATATCACATCCAAGATTAGGTAATAAGACGTGATTTCCATATTGCAGGCACCTGCTCTCATTCTTCTCTTTTGCTCATTCTGATGAAATGAGTCATGATATTTTGTAAGTGCTCAAGGAGAGGTCCATTGAGAGCAGCTTCCAGTCAATGGCACACAAGGAAATAAATCCTGCCGGCAGCCCTGTGAGTGGGGTTGGATACAGATTCTTTCCTGGGCGAGTCTCTGATGTCCTGGCCAACACATTGACTGCAGCTTGTGGGAGACTGAGCCAGAGGATCCAGCTAGGCTGTGGCCAGATTCCAGACCCACAGAAACTGTGAGATAATATTGCTTTAAGCCTCTAATTTTGTGGTGGTGGTATGAAGTAGTAGCTAACTAGTACAAATGTAAACTACACTAGGTTGTCTTTGTTAACCCAGCAGCACAGCTCCCTTCCTTTGGCGAGAACTAAGTTTCTCGGGGGGAACTAACATAAGCTAGAAAGCATTAGCGTCCCAGGTCTCAGTCCTTAGCCTTTTGTATCTGTCTGAACTCACTTGGTGATCTCAGCCAGAATCATGGCTTTCCAATCTTCTCCACCACAGCCTTCCCCATCTGTTGGAGAAACTCCATCCTTCTAGTTGCCAGCCCAAAGTGCTTGGAGTTTTCTTTTGATTTTGAACACAGTATATCCAATCCATAAGGAAATCTTCTTTAGAATATGTCTTGAGGCCCACCATTTTTTATGATCTCAGTAGCTTTTCTTCAGTTTCAATTCCTCATCTCTTGCCTATATTACTTAATTTACATTTACCATCTTATTGTCTCTTCTCACCGAATTCCAGGTGATAAAAATAAGTCAAATCATGAACGGTGCTGATCAAAACCATGAATAGCTCCCATCCCAGAATAAAATCAGTTCTTACTGTGACCCCCAGTGCCCTACATGATCCTGCCCGCTTCTGATCTCATCCCTTCTACTTCCTCGTTCTCTCCGCTTACAGCCACACTGGCCTCTTTGCTCTTCCTCAAACGCACCTGGCATGCTTGTGCTGAGCCTTTGCATAGGTTCTTGCTCCTTCCCAGCAGCTTTCTCAAGGGGGTTCTGCAAATCGCCTAGAGGGCTGCTTTAGTAGGTCTAGGGAGGGCTTGAGAATCTGCATTTCTAGTAAGTTCCCAAGAGATGATGTTGCTGATGTGGGGACCCCACTTGGAGAACCACTACCCTAGGGCATTGGTTGTACACAACATTTTAAATTCTCTCCTATGCATCTGGAATAACTGTTAAATACCACGCTAGGAAGAATTGTGAAAATATTCACTAACACCATCTGTGTTCTGTAGGACTCGATACAAGAGGCTGTGGAAAAGCTTCAGGGCTCCCCCGCTCTGGCTCCAAGTCTTTGTTCAAGTCAGCTCATGTTTTTGCATAGCATTTAGGACCTAACATACTGTGGTTTACTTGTTTATGGTTTACTGTCTCTCTCTGACCAATTAGACTGTAAAATCTAAACTGGGGGGATTTTTTTTTTTTTATTCCAAGGGCTGGACAGATTTTTTTTTTTAATCCTCACCAGAGGACATTTTTCTATTTATCTTCAGACAGAGTGGGAGGGAAGGAGAGAAAGAGAAACACTGACATGAGAGGGACACATCAACGGGTTGCTTCCCACATGACCCGGACCAGGGCCAGGGCCGAAGCACAACGGAGGTGCCTGCCCTTGGCCAGAATCGAACCTGCAACTCATTGGTCCTCAGGCTGATGCTCTAACCGCTGAGCAAAACTGGCCAGGGCAGCAGATTTTTCTTGAATATAAATGAAACATGGGAATTGAAACTCAATTCAATCCTTTCATTTCCTCAGCAGAATATAAACTCTTTTTTTTTTTTTTTAATGTACTAATTTAACTACCCATGTTCATAGGGAGAGAACATAGTAGCGGGAAAAAGACTTGAGATCAGGTAAACCTGTTTCCTAGCTAATATGTCCACAAGGTTAATGTCCATTTCGTGAGCGCAGTGTCTCTATTGTTAAACTGGTGAAAACAGATGATTGTTAGAATTAGCCAAATGTAAACAAAATATCTAGCAGTCTTGTCACTAAAGATGTTTCATAAATTCCACTTCCCTTTGGTATCTCTCCTCCTCTAGCTCACATTTCATTTGCAGTACAAGCTACTTTAAAGCCAGTCTTTTAGTTTTAGATAGAGAATTATATATAAAGGGACATTTAAGAAGAATAATCTCCAATGACTTTAGGTAGAACTCTATTTTTAAACTTGACATTAAAACCTTTGTATAACCTTTCCATAATTGTACCTTCAGGTGAAAAGTTTTCCAACAAATATCATGTGGAATAATGATAAGAGTTTGCTATTTTACTGATACTGAGGAAGTATTTCGAGTTCAACTGCCACAAAATATTAAAATCTCCCCTGACAGTGTTCATCCATAAATGTGTTTCCAGGCAACAGGCTACTTGAGTTCCAGTAGTCCTTCTAAATGAGACTAAAAACTAAACCTTCCAAGTATTTTAGGGCAAGAAATAAGTTTTACAATTGTGGGTACTCTGTCTACCTGTTTTAGATATAAATGCCCTGCATGAGAACATAGCAACAATGACCACTTTCACGACTGCAGTGAAAAGTACATGGTATTCATACATTTACGCTGCACATTCATGCATGACCTGATATTGCTGAAATAGTCTTTATTTCTGAACATTCCAAAACAGCAGTGTACACAGTAACAAATATTAAGTCATATACCATAAGAAAAGCATTCATTAGTGCAAATGGGTTTTGTAAAAGGTCTATCAAAAAGATTTATTTGCTTTAAAATGCATTCATTTCCAGAAGCATTGTTAATAAAACATTACAGTTTCATCCTCTGTAATAAAGTATTGAAAATCAGTGGTGGTACAGTAGCAAACATTGCGGTATTAAGTGCAATGAGCTTGTGATGCCTTTATAAATATGAAACCCATGTATGACAATAAATTAACAATGAAAAAGATGAGACCATTTCACTTGCTGTCTGGCTATCCCCTTGCAATGCTTCAGATTACACTGTGCTCATTCAACACAAAATGATGTCTCTGAAACTGTATGATGGGTTTTTGCTGATATATCCCTAGAGCTAAAAAAATAGTACCTTACCACAAAAATATTTTTATGGCACAAAATTTAAGTTGTTCCATAGTGGTTCACGTAGGTGTAAAAAGAAATAGGCACAAAAAATAAAATTCCTGTAAACTATAAAAAAGTAAATTTCAAAGCATACATTGATCGAACATATCTGTAAATATGTAATGTATTAAAATACAGAACATGTAATGGGAAGATGTTTAGAACACATAAATAAATGGAACAAGTTCCTTTAAAAACTCATATGGCAAAGCATTATTGATACATCTCAGTTCTCTCAAAAAGTGTTCAGGTACGTAGCAGTTCTACCAAAACTTCTAGATCTAAGTGTCACGATACTGCAACCACGGATTTGAGAACACTGCAGTATCTCAGGCAAATATTTAAGTGCAATAATTAGTCTCTGGTGATTGGTCCATAAAAACAATGCAGTAAGTATGTTAAAACGCAAAGGGGAAAGAAAGAATATCCTGACATCCACTGTTACCCAGCCAGCTAGGTAATACAACCCTCATTTCCACTTCTTTCTTCCCATTCTTCAAGGGTACATAAAACTGCATCAGTAGCAGCCATCTCTCCAGTTTCCATCCCTCAGAGTGCTGAGTGAAGACAGAGGCTTTGGGGGCTGAAGGAAACTGTAAAGGTGAGAAGAGAGGAAACAGACTGTTAGTAACCCTGTGGGTCACACCACTTCCTCTGCTCCAGTAACCGTAGCCTGCTGGCACTCGGCCAGGTAAACCTTGTGTTTCACACTCTGCAGCTTGGCAACCTGCTCATCTGCTAGAAACCCAGTTAGTTCTCAGCACAGCACCTTGCACATTTTTTAATGTATAAAAAATATTTTTTTAATCCGAAAGAAAAAGTTAAACTCAACTTGAAGAAATTTTAAAGCTTATGAATAATCAAAGATTTGCCTATCAGATTGGCAAAGAATTTTAAGAATAATTCCCATGTTTGCCTACATTTGGGAAAACCTATCCTCTCAGAGTGTGGCAGCGGCAACCTTTCCAGGAGGCCCATTTGGAGATGTATATCCAAGGACAAATAGATGGTCCTATTTACCTATACAGCATATGTCAGATAACCTAGGTATGTTCTATTTAGCCACAAACACATCACAGCTCTGCATTTGCTGAAATAAACCAGAATTTACTGAACAAATATGCACCAAAGTTATTTCTATCTGGGTAGTAGGATTATAAATCCACCTTTATTTTCTGTGTTTTTCAATAGTTTCTGAATTTGTTTCTGATATGAGCACCGATTACTTCTAATCTGAAAATAAAGCAAGGCTATTTATACATACCAATGCATGAAGAAAAATTACTTGTTCCCACATCTCTTTCCAACTTTTACTGACTCCCTGCCTCTCTTCCTTCATATCTTGTAATAGTTGTCTAAATTTACTGCCTGCATTATCTCCTCTTTCAAACTCTCAACCCACTTTTATAGAATTTGTTTTTAATTATAAAACAGTCCAGGATATCTAAGTTCAAGCACGGTACTTCAGGACCATGAACTCATCTAAAATGTGCCCTGCAAGGAATCTAGAACTTTGTTGGGGGGTGTTACTTGGACCATAACGAACTTACCAACACAAGAGAACAAAACTCAGCTAAGTATCACAAAGATGCTTTTTAAACCATGAATGTCATGGGAGGGTGTGTGTGCACACATGCCTATCACAGTTGGGCTCATTTTGATAGAAAAAGTATAGATTCAGAAAACATCCACAGTCCTACTCTGTGCTGGACACAGCTCTTGGCATTAGGGACATATAGCAATGAAGCAAAGATCAACTACCCCTTCAGGAAGCTTGCGCTTGCATTCCAGTGAGGAGAGCCAGACCACATAAACTAATACCTAAGCAGACTGAACAGTCCCACAGACGATAACTGCTGCCAGAAGAATGGAAATTAGGAAGGAGTTATAACTCTCACAGATGATGCAATTTTGAACAAAGGAGGGAGAGACGGGGTGCAGGCCATGCAAATAACTTGGGGGAAGGAAAATGCAAGAGTTCTGGAGGTGAAGCTTCCCTGGTAAATTAAAGCAAACAGGGCATCAGGAGTGAAGTGATGAGGGAGGAAGAAGATGAGATCAGAGAGAGAGGTACCTGACCACACAGGGGCACTCACCCCTTTCCAGAGGAAGGGGGGACACAAGCCAGGCCACAGAGGGTAGTGTGACCTACTATTAGGGTAAGAATGAGACCAAGGAAAAGGCAAGATTCTTACCTTCTAACAGGTTGTGCAATTTTGCTTCGAGGCAGGTTACTCCCGTTTATTGCCAATGAAGGTCTTGGAAGTGCACTGCGGCCCATTATCCCAGAAGTGGCTGCTTTGTTTGGTGTGGGGATGCCAGTGTTGGAATATAACTGTAAGCCATTGGATAAAGGCGTGTTACTGCTGCCTTGAACGGTTGGGCTCACATAGGCTGTAGCTTTGAGAGGCTGTCGGACAGACACAGGGAAATGTCCCACGCTGTGGATTCTGTGTTGTAGCTGTCCTGGTGATGGAACTAGAAGAGAAAATGACGTTCACATGAGAGAAAAATTCTATCGCTCCCCAATTTCGGAAATGTTATATTTTAAAAAGCCTATATTGTCTGCAAGATATATGTATATATAAAATGAAATTTCTAATATATGTTAAATGTCATTGTATTTCATTATACAGTGTTGCCAGTTGACAGAGACTCTATTAGTATTGGAACTCAAATTGATTGATTTTTAGAGAGAGAGAGAGACAGAGAAAGAAACATCAATGTGTTGTTCTATTTATGTATGTATTTATTGGTCGATTACTGTTAAGTGCCCCGACCAAGGATGGAACCTGCAATCATGGCTTATGGGGACGATGCTCTAACCAACTGAGCTACCTGGCCAGGGCAGAAAAATTCTAATTCTTGACAAGAGAGTCTTCTATTCTGTCAATTAGCAACATTTGTGTGCCTAACTATATTATAGTATTATAACAAATTACTATATTCTAAGAACAACCTCCTTTCCTTTAACAAATTTGAGTTCTCTCAGGACAATTCCTTCCTTTCTTGCTTGCAAGACCTTAGGATTTCCTGATGGTTACTTTGGGGATAATTTCATGGGAAAAAAAAATAAAGGGACAATTTAGCTGTAATTATCAGCTAGGAAGACATTTTAAAACTTTATAATCTTTTCCTCCAAGGGAAGAATTCAATCACAAGTTTAACGGAAACTTACATACAAAACTCTGCCTGTTATTTGCTAAGTATTCCAACCTTTGCGGCCTAGTACTTACCATTCAGTTAAACAGGGACATACCCTGTTTTCTAAAATATTTTGATTTTGAACTTAAGCATACAATATACAATAAATAATCTTTTAAAAATAAAAACAGAGGAAAAGATATCTATAGTTTAATACCTCTTGAAAATATTTTCTTAATATTTTCTTAATATGAGTTTTGCTCATGTATACAGTAGTTGAAATCTGTAACTAGTAATGCTGATGTACATGTTTAATAGTCAAATTCAATAAAAAATAAAATCTATGTAAGATTCTGCTACAGTTCTGTTCCCATCAAGTTTTTGGGATACAGTAATCTTGTGTTAGTTGACAGATCATCTCTAACATCCTTTCCAACCAATTCTACAATTCCTTAATTTAGTAGCTTCCAAACATAAATATTTCAATACAGTGGCTTATCATTGTAACAAATATACCATACTAATGTGAGATATTAATAATAGGAAAACCGGCAGGGTAAGGGGGGCATGTGAAGATATATGGGAACTCTATACTTCCGCTCACTTTTTCTATAAAACTAAAACTGCTAAAAAAAAAAAAAAAAAAAAAAAGTCTTAATATTTAAGACATTCAATATATAAATGTGTCCCAATTTCTTAGGAAACAAAATATATAGTACATAAATGTTAAGTACATAAGTACAATAAAATTTCAAAGTGAACACACTCATGTAACCACTATCCATAAAGATATAAAACATTACCAGCACTTCAAAAGGCTCTCTCATGCTCTTTCCCAATTATCCTCCCCCAAAGGTAACTATTATTGTCACTTGCATCACCACAGATTGGATGTTGCTATTTTGAACTTCATATAAATGAAATTATATAGTATGTTCTCTTTTGCATCTGGCTTCTCTCCAAATGCTTTTGAGACTCATCCGTGCTGTTGCATTGTTACAATCTATTCTTTGATGATGAAAAGCTGGGTTATTTCTGGTTTGGAGTTTTATGAACATTCATGAATATGTGTTGGTGTTTGTATGCACTCATTATGTTGGGTATATTCCAAATTTGATACGATTGAATAAATGAAGTTAGCAAAGTCACTGGATACAATATCAAAATGCAAAAAGCAACTGTATTGCCCTGGGGACCAGAGAGTCCTGGGTTCGGTTCCCGCTAAGGGCACCTACCTCGGTTGCAGTTTGTCCCCAGCCCGGTTGGGGTTGTGTGGGTGGCAACCACTCAATGTGTGTCTCTCACATCATTGTTTCTCTCTATATAAATCTGAAGATAAATGCACACACAAAAAAAGCAACTGTATTTTTAATATCAGCAAACTAGTAGAAACTAAAATTTGAAAAAAACATTTAAAAAATCAAATCCTTAGGAATAAATTTAACTATAGATTTATAAAACCTCTACACAGAAAGCCATAAGACATTGCTAAGCCATGAAAGAAGATCAAAATAAATGAAGGTATTCATTTTAATGAATTATAAGACTTAGTACTGTTAAGGCATCAATTCTCCTGAAATTTATCTACAAATTCAATGAAATTTCAATCACTATCATTTGAAATGAAATGATACTATAACAGTTATTCAGCAAAATAGCTCTAATAATCCTATTAACTCTCCAATACACAATAACCACCCACCTTGATTTTAAAAAGGAAGAACCTTTACTCTAAAACTCTAAGACCTTGAAGAAAGAAACTGAAGATCCAAATAAATGAAAGGCTATATCATATTCACAGATAGGAAGAATTCACATCATTATAGTGCATACTACCCAAAGCAATCTATAGATTCAATGTAATCCCTATCAAAATACTAAGGGCATTTTTCACAAACTAGAATAAACCTAAAATTTATATAGAACCATAAAGACCTCGAATAGCCAAAGCAATCTTGAGAAAAAAAGAACAAAGTTGGAGGGATCATGCTACCTGATATTAAACTATACTAAAAGGCTATCATTATCAAAACAGCTGATACTGGCATAAAAACAGACATATAAAACAGGCAACCAGTCACTGTGTCCCTCTCACATCGATATTTCTCTCTCTACCCCACACCCCCACTCTATCTGAAGATATTTGAAAAAATATGTCCTTGGGTGAGGATTTAAAAAATAAAATCAACAAACAAGTATTGTTGGCAAGGATGTAGAGAAAAGGGAACTTCGTGTACTGTTAGTAGGATTGCAAACTGGTGCAGCCATTATGGAAAACAGTATGGAGGTTCCTCAAAAAATTAAAAATAGAACTACCTTATGAGCCAGAAATTCCACTTCTGGGTCTTTATCCAAAAAAATATAAAACACTAATTTAAAAATGTGCACCCCTATGTTCTTTGAAGCATTATTTACATTAGCAAAGATATGGAAGCAACCTGAATGTCCATCACTTAAACAAATGGATAAAGAAGATGGTACATATATACAATGGAATATTAGCCATGAAAAAGAATGAACCATTATTCATGTGGCAATTTGTGACAATGTGGATGGGCATAGAGGGTATTATGCTAAGTGAAATAAATCAGAGAAAAACAAGAACCATATGAGTTCACTTATTTGTGGAATCTAAATAATAAAACAAATAAAACAAAAACAAACTTATAAAGAATAAATTGATGGTTGCCAGATGGGAGGGGGTGGGGGTATGAGTGACAAATGTGAAGGGATTAAGAAGTCAATTGCCAATTATAAATATAGTCATGGGGATGTAAAGAACAGCATAGGGAATACAGTCAATAATATTGTAATATCTATGTATGGTATCAGATGGGTACCAAGACTTATTAGGGGAATCACTTCCTAAATTATATAAATGTCTAATCACTATGTTGTACACTTGAAACTATGTATGTCAACTGTAATAAAAACTGAAATAATTAAAATGAAATATAGAGAAACTAAATTAATAGACAGAATCCTAATTTTACAAGTGCGAAACAAGAATCGGGAAGAATACATAACCTGCCCAAGAGTTTAGGATTAAGATCCAAACTCAAACAATGAACACTACAAATCCTGTGCCATTCCTTCTATATCATGCTGCCTTTCCAGATTTCTCTGTCCTACTTTGTTCTTTCCAGAAAGTAAAATAGTCCAGAACTAGGAATCTTCATTATGTAAACTTAGAATGTGTAAAGAATATCTGCTTTGAATGCTTAGGAATAAAAATAATGCTTAGGAATCCTAAGATTTGAATCAAGTTTATGACTGACCTTCTATTACACATTAACACTCAGGTTTTTTCTCTCATTACAATGCTTGGCTACAAACAATGATTTTCCTATTTTCTTCATTTCTATTACCCTTTCATAAAAAAAAAAAAAAAAAATGTTTTTAAAATTGATCTTTTGAGAGAGAGAGAGAGGAAGGGAGAGGGAGAGAATCATCCAACAGCTGCCTCCTGCACGCCCCCTACTGGGGATCGAGCCTGCAACCCGAGCAGGTGCCCAGACTGGGAATCCAACTGGTGACCTCTCGGTCCATGGGCAACACTCAATCCACTGAGCCACACAGGCTGGGGTCTTTTACCGTTATTAATAGGAATTCTAACATAAAGAAGAATTTCCCCTATTCTCTATTTATTTATTCAAGTAAATAGAGACCTATGATTATTTAATCTGTGGGTTATAATCCTTTAATATAATTACTTATTCTGTGGCTCAAATTGTCCCAGATTTCATCATTGGAAGCTGCTTCAAATTGTTTCCTATATTCTTTTGACATGTTCTCATTATTTTTTGAGGCCTTCCATCAAAACTGGCCATTCTTTGTTATTCTCTTTTGGTTTACATACATTTCTCTGGCACTCAAATCATGCCATTAACCCACAAGTGAGAGTTAACAAACATCCCTAAACATCATCATATTTACTACTGTCAAACCATATTTTCTCATTCTGCGTTTATACAATTTACTTTTGCATTGAAGTACAGAACTGTGTATTTATGTCAGATATAATCATGGTCTATTTGGCCCATTGTCCTAAACTCCTGACCTAAAATTCATTAGTAGTCCTTTTTGTTTCCCACAATTAGTAAATTTCATAGACTGTCTTCACCCAAGTTATTAATTCAAATATTAATAAATCAAGCCCCCAAATGCAACCCTACAGCCTTCATTTATTCATTCATTCAAACATGTACTAAGAGCTCATTATGTACCAGGCACTGGGAACAGAAAATCAGATAAACTATGGTCCAAGCCCTGAGGGAAGTGACAATCAGTATAAAAGATAAAAATACTGACATTAAAGAATGACACACTCAATAACAGAGGTAAACACCAGATATCTAATACAATCTAGATATGTTGTAGGGGCACATGGGACAGTCTATTAAGGGTCATCAATGGGACCTTTTCAAAGGGAGAGGTATTGGGCTGTATTATAAAGGCAGATAGGAGGAAACTGGCTAATGAAGGGGAGAGAAGAACAGTGTGTGGGAGTCAGAATACCACGGTAGTTAAACTCTGAGGTAATCAGAACTGGTAATAAGAACTGTTTCCATCTCCATTTCTTCACCTGCGTGGCCTTGGGAAAACTGTTACTGAACCTCATCTGCAAATCGGAACTCAAACTACCTCATACGGTCGGCAGAACTAAATAAAATAATGAATATGAACCAGTTAGCACAGTTCCTATGCAGAGTAAATGTTATTTTGTCTTAAAAAATTAGGACAAAGAAATAAAAAACCATCACATGTTGGGGAAACACCACTTGAGCCCCAAAACTGGATACGAGGGAGAAGGGCGCGAACCACTCTGGGTGCAGACTTAACACATCTGGTTGGTGATGCTGCCAGCCCACTCTGAGCACACTCAGAACTCCCAGGCATGGGCACATCAATACTGCAACTGAGTCCGCTTCCCAGGGCTCAGGCTCAGACTAACCGCAACTACCCATATAGACAGCATGTGCAGGAATGGTGAGGGGCACCTGGAACCATCACACCCCTTGAAAAAGTAAAACCATGAACACCAGACTGAACACTCATTGCACTATTTGTTGCTGGGTAAAACACAGAAAATGAATGACAGACTGTGTGGTAAGCTACAATGGAGTAGGTAAATACTACTTTAGACACACTAAAATATAACTGCTTTTGGGGGGAAGCCGTGAACTGGTGAAAAACAATAGACAAAAGAAGAAGTGTGTTTTCGTCAGAGTAAAGGTATCGAGTTGACAGAAAGAGGCAGATCTATAAAGAAAATAGATTTTATATGATAAGTAGGCAAATTAATCACCATTTAATGCTTCTACTGCTATCCTTGGATATAAAGGACTACATATAATTTACTGACTTTTAATTGTTAACATAGGCACCGGTAAAAATACTACTCAACTTTAATGTGGGGGGAGGGGGGAGTCACAAGACAAGGAGAAAAGTTTCCTGTAGTATTTCCAAGAGAAAAAGAAGAAGAAATGGAATAGTAAGATACTTGTCTAATGGTTTACAACTAATTAAAAATTACCAAAAAACTAAAATTGTTGGACTTACTACAAGACTGTATTCTTGAAATCCCATTTGCAGCCCCGTGCAGGCTGGAGTCGAAGCTCTGACTGGTCCGCACGGTGACCGGAGAACTGACGTTGCTGCTGACAGCCGTCGTACTCGGCATCCGAGCCAGGTTGGGCATACTTCTTCGGAGCTTGTCTGGAAGGGAAAACATCTTTACTGGGTTCAAAATCACAAATTTTATGCCTACTACAATACTAGCTTTCAAAAGTACATTCAAACATAAATCATAGTTTGCTCAATGACAAATAAAAATTATCATGTACATTATGAATTATAAAACATTAATGGAATTAACTTTCTGTATAGGAAAACACACTCAGTATCTCCAGAAAGGTTCCACCAAATAAACTATTTTTTAAAAAAATGAGTTCTGTAAAAAGAGGTAGGGATTAAACAATTATCTATTGGTTCATATGCAGTAAGTGAATAAAATTGTGTCTAAGTGAGGTTAGAACATATTCTCACAGCCATTTGGTTTTTAAAAACTCTAGAAATTGTTACGTGTTAATAAAAACACTGGATCTTTTGCTAGCACATCATAATGGAAGAAATTATTAAAATTAAAACTTGAGATGTTTTGAGAAATCCACTGATCACATCAACGTGACCATATAACTTCTGAAAAGTTTTAGTTATCATGAGTATGCCACCAAACCTTTGGAGGTTTGAAAAGGAGAATGCTTCCATTTCTTTCCCCCTGCTAAGTACATCTTCTGCCACTTAGGGGCAGCAGAGTGTCAGGCAAAGATCTCAGTGTTGCAAGATTGCAACTGCCTAGTTTTCTCTTTATCAATACACCCTCTACACACCAAAATAAAGGAAAAAGAAAAGAAACACTAAAATATGTATATTCAGGTCACTCAAGCTCAGGAAACAAAGGCTATATTTAAATACTAAGCCAAAACCCATGCAAGTACAAAAAGGACTCATTTCTTTGTGTTTCACACACAGGTCCTTCTATATTACTTAGATCTGTTCATTGTAGCTCCGTCCAGAAAGCCACCTAATCCAGAAATCTACCGAATTTCCTAAAATTCACCTGTGTTTTTCACCCTTGACTCCAATTCCTCCTAATTCTGCCTCATAAATATCCACTCCTTCGGACATCATTATCACTCACATTTTCACAAAATCCTCTTAATTGATCACCTATGCACCCCATCTTGTTCCTCCAACCCATCTTCCATATAGCCAGTTCCATTCTTCCTATTACTCTCCCCCACCTTCATCTGAAAGTTCACGCTCCCAAGCATGGCCTAGAAGAGACTCTTCAAGGTATCAGCCCTATATACATACTTCTCCAGCCTTACCTCCTGCTGCCCTTGTCTCTCAGCCCACTGTCCAACCACTGTGGACAAAGGAAGCCCCAAATACTCCACACTCCCGTACCTGTGAGCATGCTGGTCCCCCACTAGGACACCATCCCCACTCTGAACGACCAAGGGAACAAGGACGTATTGTGTATACACTACATGTCAGGTGCTCTGGAAGATGCTGGGGATACCACAGTGTGTTAGACAGATACAGTCCTCAGCTTGCACTGAGTTTATAGTATAGACCATGTTTCTCAATCTATTTTTCCATATCCATCCTAAGGAGGAAAATTTAACATTAAATTTAATTTCTCTCAAATAAGACATTAAATATATTTTTTTAAAATAGCATTTTAAAAGATTGGGTTGAACTTTGGAGAACCACAAATAACTATGGGTTTTTTTTCACACATTCCAACTCTATTTGATTTTTTTTCCCTCACCCAAGGACACTTTTGCATTTATCCTAAGATAGAGCAGGAGGGAGAGAGAAAGGAAGAGAGAAACAACGATGTGAGAGAGACACATCAACTGATTGCCACCCACACTACCGCAACCGAGGCCGGGAACAAACTACAACTGAGGTACATGGCCTTAGTGGGAACTGAACCCGAGACTCTTTGGTCCGTGGGCCAACGTTATAACCACTGAGCCAAACTGGCCAGGGCTCTATTTGATATATTAATCTTTATTAATATATACCGTAAAACACTAATCAGAACTCACCACTCTGTAAGATTTAGTCATTTTTATATCTGGCAAATTACTCCAAATGTGCTTCTTTTCATTCTAAGATCCCTAGAAATATTACAACTTTTAAGAGCTGTCTCTTTTCAACCTAGGTTACCAAAGCAATAAACATAAGTAACACACTTCTGGTTTATTTTTAATTATTTTAAAGTGCATCAATGATTTAACAATTATTTTCTCCTATCTATATTATTTTGGTACTTTAGAAAACTCTTTGATAGGTAAGTTTCAGTTACCATTCTTATTTCACAATTTTGTTCAAATAATATCCCATGGTAACAAATGAAGGCTCTGATATCCAAGTCATATGTCAATAAAAGCTTTTTGTTTTTTTTATTTTTTTTTTTATTTATTTTTTTTTTTTTTATCCTCACTCGAGGATATTTTTCCATTTTTTGTACAGATAGCATGGGAGGGAGAGAGAGGAAGGGAGAGAGAGAGAGAAACATCGACGTGAAGGGACACATCAAGTGGCTGCCACCCGCACGACCAACCAGGGCCGGGGACAAACTGCAACCGAAGTACATGCCCTTAGCGGGAACCGAACCCGGGTCTCTCCGGACCGCAGGCCAACGCTCTAACCGCTGAGCCAAACTGGCCAGGGCGCTTTTTGTTTTTTTTAAAGGCAGTGGTTGGGGCGAGACAACCTTTATTCGCTGTCTTCACCACTTTTACTCTTGCCAATGTAACAGTCATCATTTCCTTAGTTTGGGAGAATATAGACCAGATGGTGTGGTGAAATCATACCTAAGTTTTCTAAAAGAGAGATATTTTGTTCACAGTTTATGGCCAGTAAAGTCGATGGTTAGAGCCATGAGAAACCTGTATAAGCCCTGGGTGGCAGGCAGGACTGGAACGCAGGGTCTCCTGGTGCATTAGAAGTCAATGCAGCAAATTGTGATTGTATCCCATTTCCTTTGTAGGGAACCAGACCTTTTAGGAACCATACAACTACCAGCCAGACACTAGGCGGTGATGGGCTCCCCTTTCCTTACACGGAGTCAGCACAGGTTCAGGGACATCTGATCCTTTTCACAATGGTATTTAATGTACGTTAAAACCACTTTTCTAAGGTCGGACAGTGATCCCATTTGACAATACTAATCAAGATGCAGAGCTAGCATCTGCTTGACGACTGGGATGTGATGTTCTCCGACACCTGACAACAAGCCCTTCAGAGGAAGGACATTGGGTGCTCCCTCCCTCAACTGTAAAATAAGGCTGTGACTGTCACTGGGCATATGGGATATGTTGTCTGATATTATTATAAGGCTCTATAAATTAGTCATTAGGACATTCTTTAGCTGCCACTATTTTCTTTCAAATCTGAAGGTACAAAAAGAAATTATGACTAAAATTTTCAATATTTTCAAATTACCTCTCAGTTAGCATTAATGACACACATACACAAAAAGAAAGGGTAAAAACTAAATACATGGTGACAGATGATCACAAATATGATTTATATTTAGCTTTGCAATGTTATAAAAGTACCTCCTCGAGCACTTCTGTCCCCAGCTTGGAGATATGATGCTACATCATCAAAAGCTATACTGTATAAATATGGTTTGCTTGTCCGTATTACATGGATTTGTGTGTCACTGGTCATTAATACAAAAACATACCAGGCATAGAATATTACATGACTGTTCTCCCTATAGTTTGTTGGAAGTCAAGGAGTGTAACTCCTGAGAGCGGATGAAGGAAGACAAATGAAGAGAAAGACAGAAAAATACACAAGAGGAGGATACATACTCCAACCACGTTGACATTAGGGCAGATCAACTTCCCATTAACATGCCAAATATCAGCCTCCATTGTCCTACTGCTACACAGATCTTAATTCTAAATGTCAGGATCAGAGGGAAAGACACATCCCAACTTCCCCTAAACTGGATGTGACAAACAGCATCCTCTCCAAGCAGCACTGTCCCCACCCCGCTACCCATCCACCACTCTGTGCTAAGAGCACGTAGTCAGAGGCTGAGGCTGGGGGAAAGGTGAGAAAAGGTGAATTAGTGCCCCGGGCTCCACGGAGGTCCACCAAGAGCCCCCAGCTGGCACAACCTTGCCCATCCCACAGCTGAAGGAGCAACATCAGGATGCTCCCATTTATGGCTCATCCTGTGCCAGCTACCTTACGTGGTGTTCTTGAAGCCCTAAGTCTATAAATCTGGGACATGTCATCAGAAGTCGGCCAATGACAGATTTAAATTTAGACCAAACTGACAAAATCTTGACAATGTACTTAATAAATCTGAGAAATGTTTACCTACTATTCACGTTGATCTTGAGGCCATTTAATACCAAAAGGGCACCGTCACCTACCTCCATTGGTCCTGTTTGGTTGCTGGTCTGGAGTCTGGGTTTGAGGTGAATAACACTGTTGCTGCTGGTAATTATTTGAAGGGAAATACTGGGAACTGGGGCTCCTCCGACATTCCCGAATGCTGGAGAAAGTCTGTGAATGGGGAATCCCTCTTTGGAAAGGTAAACATCTTGGAAGACGAGGCTGAGGTGGTGGCAAATGATCAAATTCTTCCTCATCCTCTAGACTGAATCGATCATATTCTTGGTCACTACATGTCCCCTTTTTTCCTGAACTCAGTGACACACTGGAACTGTGTCTTGACACAGATGCTGAAGTGGAAGCATAATCTTGCCTGAGACCTATAAAACAGCAAGAAATAGTACTATCTTAAGAGACTTTTCAATCTATCAAAAATTAAGTTCAAATATTAGAGGAAAATCTGTGCCCTATGACGTAAACCGGAGACCCATGATCTTGTTTAGTTTATTAAATCCCAATGTAAGAGATACATTTATCTATCAAACAGACATCCTGTTTTGCAAAAAGATTGCCCCAATTGCAGTGAAGATTATAGTACACACTACTATCATTCATCAATGTCTGCCAGTTTCCCCAAATGATCCCTTCTGAACTCCGAGGAGAGGTACTTAGGAAGGCTGCTTGAGAAATACTATTCATCATCATGATAAATCATTTGCTAGGAGGTAGACAATTGGCATAATCAAAGCTCTGCCCAAGTAGGAACTCCTGAGGCTCCTCACCCCGACTCTCAAGGTCAAAGTCAAGTCCAAAGCCAGTGGTACAAATATTTTCTAACAAGGTCACCTCTCTTTTATTCTTTTTGTCATGTATATTATTTTTTTCAAAGCATACTGACACTTCAATAACGCAATGGTTTTGGGTCATCCTAAATGATAACCATCTAAAAACAGTCAAACTGTAAGTTTCTAGTTATTCATCTCATTGTACTACCACAATTTTTTTTTAAAGTAGTCTATCCTTAACTACTTCACTTCTGAAAACTGACATCCAGTCTTTTAGACATAGAGATGTAGAGTTACTGTTAGTTTACTGTGACTAAAAATGACCAAAAAACTCACTTTTACCCTCAAAATGTATCTTATTAAATTCTGCATAAGTATTACCATGTTTCTCATAGTAGCCTTGACTAATTCTGAAAGCAGGAAACTGTGATGCTTAAATGATACTTGGCTGTTGCTACTTTTGTTGGCCTAAAAGATAAGTGCGAAACAGCCTCGCCCAGCTCCGTGATCCACAGCTTGTTGTGCCTTTTTATGCCATGAATATCCTCGAAGTGCTCACTCCCGGATAATTTATTGTAACTTGATTGCAGAACCAGGGATAAACTGCCCCATTTTCAATGATCTTCTCTTCCATAATTATTTATTCTGAGAAGTATATCAATGCATTTTAACTGAATTTTCATTAAGAAAACTATAGACCCACATGCAGTTCTAAGAAATAATACAGAGAGAGTTCCTTTGTGCACTTTGCCCAGTTTCCCCCAATGATAATAGTTTGCAAAATTATAGAATAAAATGACAACCAGAATACTGGCAGTGATACAAACCCAGTTTTACTCATGTATGTATGTGTGTATGTATCAGAATGAGTTTTATATAGGTTTATCACCTGTAGGATCAAGTGCCGACCACCAGTGTCAAAATACTGAACAAATAGTTCCAAACCCCCAGCAATCCCTTGTGCTGCCCTTCTATAACCATATCCACCTCCCTCCTGAGACCCCACACCCTATCCCTAACCCAGAAAAATCACTAATCTGTCCATTTCTAAGATTTTGTCATTCCAAAATGTTATATATATGAAACTATATAGTATACAATCTCTTGGGATGATCTTTTTTCACTGAGCATAATTCCTTGGAAATTCATCCAAAACACTGTATGAATCAATGGTCGTTCCTTTTTGCTGGTGAGTAGTGCTCCACAATGTGGAGGCACCACTGTGGGATTAAGCATTCACCTACTGAGATGTTGAAGTTCAGTCCAGGCTTTGGCTATTAGAAATAAAGTTGCTGTAAACACTCAGTACAGGTTCTGTGTGAACACAAACTCCCACTGCTCTGTGAAAAAACACCCGAGAGAAACGTGCTGGGCTTGTGGAAATCACGTCTGGTTTTTAAGAAACGGACACACTGTTTCTGCAGTGGCGATCGGGCAACGGTCTTCATATCCCTGCATTTCGATCAGACCTTGTCCTAACACCTAACAATGCTCGTGAGAATGTGAGAAGCAGTAACTGCCCCCCTACCAAGTAGGACAGTATCACAGAAAGAATCTAATTGTTTGCCCACTACCTGGGAAGAAATACCTGCAAACTCCCCATGTCCTTATGTTTCAAGTAGAAGCCTCTAGTTCAAAAAGTTTTCTAGTCTAAAAAGAACGTACTTTCTTCTTGCAGACGAGCCATGATCTGCACGTCAGTGAGGTCCTGTAACTTATATCCCATGGAGATAGAGTCATCCTCCAGTTCTGAAGTACTCAGCTCACTGTCTATAGATGACTGGGGACTGAGCGGGGAGCCCCTGGAAGTGTAACCTAAAAAAAAAAAAGACATACTTTTATTTAGTCTAAAGAACAGATATTTATGTTTTATAATTCATGTTATCAACAATCAGCAGATTTTGTCCTGTTTTTATGTCACCAAAAAGTGACCAATATAAACTGTAAAGAAGATAGATTTCCTTTTTTACCACAAAGAAAGAAAATCATTAATGCTAAAATCTGCATCTCATTAGATAAGAATATATCTAAAGGCATTGTATAAGAATACATATCTATGTTCACTTCTAATTAGTAATCAGATATGCTTGTCTCATGAGTAATTAGTATATATTTTAAAATTAAATTTTAATCTGGTCTGGGTGTTTTTTTTTAACAGGTACAAACGATAGTGCTACAAATGAGTAAGAATACCGCAAGTAAAAGGAACACATAACACACAGAAGCATCTACACCGCCTTCGAAACTGAGAGCAGAGCAGTTGGGAGACTGGCAGTGGCTCGTGAAAGTGAAAAGGCAAAACGGCCCGAGACACGAGGACCAAGGAAGAATGGACCACGGGGGGAGCTGCGGGAACGGAATCACACCAGTGCTGAGACAGACAGGGAAATGGTGACACCTTCATCCCACAAAAAGCTACCAGGTCTATTTTCTGTGTAGCCCTGGCTGCATAAAAAGCTACCAGAAAAAATAAAACTTAGAACAAGATATAAAATCCTTATATTCTTGGCTCATAATAAAAATGCCTGAACTGTGTTTGACATTTCATGTTAAGAGCACACCAGGCACCTGGAAACACGTGGACTATGCACATATACTTTGGCTGACTAGGAAGACCACCGCCTACACTCAGTGGAGAGCAGGTTCATGGTGTTCAGGTACAAATTAACCTTTTTTGCACCCAAAGTAAGTGTGCAGTGCAAACTCTCCATTGTGATATGATTACCCTCAGGCTTTTCCATGAAAGATGGATACTTAAGCTGTGTTTAGTAACTGAATGACAAAGCAAGCAGCTAGTCAAGAAGTTGAAACATTACCTGTTCTTTCAGGTGTTAGTATTGCTTTATTTGAGGTTTTAGAGAAGCTGGGAGTATTAATGCCATTGCTATAAGGGCTGAGTCTTGCAACAGGACTATAAGGAAAAGCCAGTGAGACATTTGAAGAGAAGAGACTCCGCCATCGGCTAGCTGTCACAGAAGCAGAAAATAAACAGCAGCAGTTAGCGACAGGGAAGCAGATGTTGACTTGTCAGGGGGAGAAAGGGAAGAGGTTACAAAAACAAAAACATGAAAAGACAAAGCAACTTTTCATAAGAATATTTTAACTTCCATTTCTCTTGGGGAAAATATGTTTAAAAAGGCATTTGTGAATTAGGGTCACATTTACACCTCCTTTAAGAAAAAGTAAATCAGTCTCACCTCAATTAAAGCCAATATGCTTGTATAACAATGAAAATTTGCTTTGAAAAATTCAAAGACACTTATAATCTTTAGAAATTGTGGGAAATGTTCTTGATGTTAACTATACCCAATCCTATAATTTTCCTAAAATCTTCAATTAATATCAGAAAACATTGATCAAAAAATGTTACAGAAACTTGTTCTTTAATTATGGAAGAAACTTAAAGTGACTATTGTGTTTCTGAATGGCCTTGAGTCCAAAACAAGATTTACACAAAAAAAGGATACAAAATCACAGAAGGGTATATACAGCAAAATTTATGCCAAAATTTTTATGGCAGTATAGAAACTAATTGGTGATCTACTGTTTTTTTTTCTTTTTATAAAAATATTTTCCAAATTTCCATTTGAACATACACTCTTCCTACAACATTTAAAGGTAGACCTTATACATATTACTACTTTAATACTATAAGATAAGGAACAAACCAGAATTTTACCTGCAATGGGCAGATAATCTCATTCTAACATTATCTCACCTGGCTAAGTAATGTATTCCTCTCCTCCAAAATTACTCAGCCCTTGCTATTTCTAAGTTCTTGGGATCATGAAAAAGATCACAGACTATAAAAACTTGAGCAAGTCACACCAACATCACTTCCTCTTCTTTCAAGGGATACAAATTACTGCACTAGTCAAAATCCGCTTTCCTAAAAAGCAATCTTTTAGACATATACTCAACAGGATGAGAAGAAATAAATAAAAAATATAAATGAGGGTAAACTTCACATTTAAGCAATAGATAGGTTTTTATTTGCTGGAAATTTGATAAAACCTGAAGAAAAACATAAAAAGGATTGCTTTGAAATGTATTCCCCAAATCACTTTTAATGAGCAATGCTAATGAACACACAGTTGAAAGTGTTTAAAAATGAGCAGCAGGGTGGAAAGAAAGAAACTATGGGATGTAGTTTGTCAAGAAAATAATCAGCTCTAAAACTGGGATTTCTAAGATCCTTGCAAAATATCACCAAGGTTATTTAAAAGAGCAAAATGTTTCCTTTTACTTCAGCAAGCTTCGAGATTTAAGTACCATCCCTTTACAACAACTACATAAAAAAATATCTTTTCCTCACGTAGGTAAAAGAACTAGACAAGGGGCGTCTACATTCACAATGATTACGCTTTCGGCATTTGGAAGCTGCATGAAGGGGACACTGCCAGGAAGCCTAAGTCCTAATTGACCCCAGTCATGTCACTTATTCAGTATGTCATTAACTGTGGTTAAGCAGCTCTTCCCAACCTGAGCCAGAGCAGAGCCATGCAGAGTGACACTCTCAGCTCCGTAATTCCTAGATATGTAAATCCAATCCCTAAATACATTGAAATAGGGCTTACTAGGCAACACACACTTGGTAGCTGTTGTCACATCGTCCATCTCTATTACTCGAAGTTTCTCATTAAAAATTCTGTGTGAAAAGAAATCAATAGTTCTTTGTGACTGTTAACTTGCTTAACAGATAATGTTATTTTATACCAGTTTGATCCTTCGCCAGGCAAATTACAGTGACTGCGTGTTCTCACCCACAGATGCCGGCAACAACGCATCCCAAGTAAACAGCATTCATTACCCTGCACAATAACTACTGTGACCCAGCCTCCCTGCACAATAGCACAGTGATTGTGGCTATGACAGCAAGATCCCAACTAAGCACACAATTACCATCTATTGCAAGAAAGAATGCTCTGCATTGTCCTTTGGTGTGAGGCTTTTAAGAGGGAGGAGGATTATTGTGGAGGCGAGCTATCAAAGCAGCCACGCTACATTAGTGCCCAAGGTTGCAGTGGAGGAGAGAAGGAAGCGGAAGCCCTCACATCCTACTTATTCTTCGCTATGTAGCTGAAGATTGTAACAGAAAGCACGTTTATCGAAAATAAAACAAAAACAACTTTTCATAAGGCAATTTATGTTTTGCAATCAATTAATTTAATGTATTTTTTAATATATATATATATAAGGATGTTAAATTTTTTGAGAGGTTCCATGATGATCAGAATGACCACAAGAAAGAAAACTTTGCTAAAAGAGAAAATGGATGATGAACTCCTGAGCAACAGTTATGTTTCCCTATACTCCTACTCCAAAGTTCTAGCTATAAAATAAAGAGCTTCTCATATTTGGAAGTGGTATGGGCTATATATATGTATTTTTCATTTAACTGCAACCCCTACAATAGATATAATGATACACTGATTAAACGTCATATTATACTTGGCAAGGTTTTCTTTCCCACATGCCATAATTTTTTTTTTTTAATCCTCACCAGAGGATATTTTTCCATTGATTTTCAGATAGAGTGGGAAGGAGGGAGTGGGGAGGGAAGAAGGGAGAAAGGGGGAGAGAGAGAGAGAAACATCGATGTGAGAGAGATACATCGATTAGTTGCCTCCTGCATGCCCCAACCAAGACCAGGGGTCGAGTCACAACCGAGGTACATGCCCTTGACCAGAATTAAACCCACGACTCTGGTCCGCAGGCCATCGCTCCAGTTGCTGAACCAAACCAGCCAGGGCCCATCTGCCTTAAATTAAACTGCCTCCCAGAACACTCCTTTCTGTACACTCTCCATAGTTCTACTGTAACTTCCCTAAGACACTTGCCACCTCCCACCAGATGACCGCAATCTGGTCCTCCGTGAACTCTCAACCACAGCACTGCCCTCACCAAGCCTTTTCTGAACACCACTGCCAAAGTTTTGTTAGTTGCATCCTATTTTAACTGTTATTGTCTTCCATTAAAGTTCTACAGTGGCTTTTCATCAAATACAAGATCTGAAAGGTACTGTAGATCACCTCACTAGCACCTTGATCCACTGCCACGTATCCCATGTCCACCCCTAGAGTGTTCCCGAAACTTCCCTGTTAAGAATTACACTCATAGCCCTGGCCGGTTTGGCTCAGCGGTTAGAGCGTCGGCCTGCGGTCCTGAGAGACCCGGGTTCGGTTCCCGCTAAGGGCACGTACCTCGGTTGCAGTTTGTCCCCGGCCCTGGTCGGTTGTGCGGGTGGCAGCCACTCGATGTGCACCTTCACGTCGATGTTTCTCTCTCTCTCTCTGTTCCTCTCTCTCCCTCCCACTCTACCTGAACAAAAAATGGAAAAATGTCCTCGGGTGAGGATAAAAAAATAAAATAAAATAAAAGAATTACACTCATATTGGTTAGACTTTCTACTTTGCTTCATTTGCCTAACGAGCATTTTCTAGTAAGATAAATGTTATAAATTACTAGGTTGTGCAATTATCTTAAAAAAAAAAAAAAAAACTGAGTCAAAGGTCTAATAATTTATTTTTTATACATCTTCAAAGTTGCATGCCTGAAAAATAGCAACATATCTATGTAGTTATTCTTGTACATCATTAAGTAAGGTATTACCCTCCAAAACTGATTTGATACATGCTCTGGTGATGATAATATCAAGGGATGAAAAAAATCACTTGTATGTTTAATAAAGAATCTAAATTTCTTTAATTCTCCACACTGAAAATTATTCTTTTGGCCACAAAAAAAGTTACAAGAAAATGATATCCCTACCATGTCTTGATCATCTTTGCCTAGACTCATAGTAAATACAATAA